TTGGTTTTGGTTAGGGTTTTGATTTTCCTAATTTTATTTGTTTGTTTAAATAATTAATATAAAAAAAGTCTGATTTTTGAATTGTGAAAGTTCCACTCTGATTTAAGAATGTTGAATTTTTAAGGTAGGATTTTGTGTAATTTCCACTTTTTTTATTTTGATTGTTATATTTACTTTCTTCAACAATGGGATTGTTTTTATATTTTATTTTAAAAGGTTTTTGAAGGGATTTAAGAGGGTAACAATATTGAGAATTCGTAACAATTTCATTTCTTAGCTCACCTAGAGAAAAGATTGAAAGTAAATACAACCTAGAAGAGAATATTTAATAATCAGATTAATTGGATTATAGATTGCATGTATTTCTCTCCCAATTACATTGTTTTGTACCTACTTTTTATCTGATTCAATTTAAAACATGTGATGGTTTCTTTTTTGCCCATTGTTATCATCAAATCATAGTAACATATATTTTTGTCTTTAGATAATTGATAATTTAAAATTTTTTATTCTTCTACATTTTGATTCATTATTGAAGTTTCCCAGTTAGTTCAAGTTAATTGCAAGAGAAGTTTTTCGAAACTAGGGTAAATTCCTACTTTACTCCCCTTCTCCCATATGTAAGAGATATTCAGTGTATTGTGCTTTTTGACTTTTTCTTTCCAATATCTTGCATTTTCATGTAAAATTTAGTTTAGCTTCAAACTATTGGTTTTTCCCCATATGATGGTAGAGGTCTCAATTTTTCTCCGAAATCATGCTCAGCAATTTTGCTTTTTTTTTTTTTTTTGAATGGGTCCCACAATTTTCTTGCAACTCTTGTCTATCATGGTTGGTCTCTCTGGTGGGCTTTGGTTCAAAGTTCTTGACTGGCCAAGAAGAAATAGAATCTGTGGAGAGGCTTGTCCTTGAGCGTCTTCCACAATTGTCCGGAAGCAAAGAAAAGCTTTTGACCTTTCCAATATTTTCGTCTCTCCCTTCAGAGAAACAAATGAAAGTTTTCCAGCCTGCCCCAGTTGGGTTCCGAAAGGTAGTTATTTTCTTCTGACAAGATATTCTATGCAAGTTTCTTGGCTAGAAACATTAATGTCAACATATAAGTATTGAAAGTCGCATGTTGTTACTCGTCATCGTAAGAGAAAAAATACATTAAACTTTTATGAGATGTTGATTGGACAAGACAAATGCTACCACTTTGTTGAAATTGTGCCCATGTCTGTTATATGTAGTATTATAATAAATGTAGACGTTTAAGTACCCAGCAACTATACTAAAAGTATGGTTGGCAAGCCGAGCATCATTTAGAATATTTTCTTATACAGGAACTGTCCAGTTTCCGTTGTTTAAGAACATTCTCATGGCACAAATACTATACAGGAAAAAAAAAGTTCCTTGATTTTGTCAGGAAGTGTTGAGTGTTGTTGTCCACCTACAGTTGTGATATTTTGGAAGCTCTGAAAATCTTCGGGTCTATGAATTTGACCAATTGTTTGTCTGCTCGTGTGCTGTTCAAGTAATATTAGCCATCAATATTGCTGAGACATCCATGACGATACCGGGACTCAAGTATGTCATTGACCCTGGAATGGTGAAAGTACGCAAATATGAGGCATCAACAGGGATTGAACCAGTAATCATCGTCAACTCAAAAGCACAAGCACTTCAGAGGAGGTAGAGCTACTGACTTTTTCCTGCATTTATACTTGAGGGAAAGTTGAGAAATTTGAATTTTTTTTTTTTTTCCTTTTTTTTGGTTATCGAGGCCATTAAATGGGCTCAGCTCATTTCATTATTTCAGTGTGTAATGCAAGAGAGTACGTGAAGTTGGATAGTGTAGCAAAGCTAACTCTGTTTCCAAATAATATGTAATTAACTCATTGAATGTGGATTCTTACAAAGAGAGATGCTAAGAAAACAATCAAATCAGATGAATCTAATTTCTAATATCATTTATATTAAAATTTAACGGATACTCAAATTACATCTTGTCATCACGAATTCATTACATCCCCTCGGCCTCGTTAAGCAAGGGCAATTGGAGAAAGTATTGAATGGTAAACCTACCAATATCTGCGATAAATTGATATGTCTTACAAATTCTGTTACAGTGGACGTGCAGGCCGTGAAGGACCTGGGAAATGCTACCGTATTTACCTAGAGAGAGAATTTGATAGGCTGAAGGATTCCATGATGCCTGAAATTAAAAGATGTAACCTATCAAATGTTATTTTGCATCTTCAAGCTCTGAGCATTGATGATATAATTGGATTTGACTTGATTGAACAACCAGATAAGTGAGTATGACAATGGATTTTGCATCATAACCAGATATGTTATTTTGCATCTTGAAGCTCTTGTTGTCTATATCCATGATTTGCTCTGTGATTATGTCAAATAAGCATATGTTTATGGTTCTCTTGTTTTTCCCTATAATGTGTTCTATGAATTTCATTTGGTAGTCTAGTTTGAGACCTTGTGTGAATTTTCATTTTGAAAGTTGTTGGTTTCTAAGTGTGCTATGGTACTAATTCAAACAGTTTTCTAGGGGATGAAAAGTGTAGAGAATTGTAAGAATACCTTAAAGCTATTATTGGCCTGTTTTGTGCCTGATGCATAAGTTACACCATTACGAGCTATTAATTTGATGGATAAAAATAAGTAATTGAAATATGGCTGAATTTGTATTTGAGTTTACTAGTATTTAGTGTTAATTTCATCAACCCTATGCTTTCTTTTTCTATATTGTTTGAAGGTTTATTCTTTATTGCCCACAACACCTTTTTTTACTATGGTAATAAAATAATTGTCATAAAATCATCTGCTTCTTAATTTCCATTGGTTTTTGATATCTGGACTTCTGAATAATCTAACATGTGCCGTATAAGAATTTATCTCAGATTGATTTTAACCATGCCTTCTATATATCCGCATAGGATTGCTATCATCAAGTCGAGGGAGTTGTTATTCTTGTTAGGTGCTCTAACGGAAGCAAGTAAATTGTCTGATTTAGTTGGGCAAAAGATGGCCAGGCTTCCACTGGATCCTTTTTATTCCAAAGCTCTCATTGTGGCCAGTGAATTTAATTATTGGGAAGAATTGTTAATAGTTGTTGCAATGCTCTCTGTGGAATCTATCTTCTATGCTCCCCATGAAAAGTTAGAAGAGGTAGGGATGTATGACCTTCTAAAGTTTCGCATTCGATTATATATGCTTTAAGAGCAGGGTTGGTGCACACCACTAGACATTGCTCAATTCAATGGTACAATACGCACAAGATTTTAACTCCTATTTCTTTCTTATGTCGTCGTCTATTGTACAGCCTACCCTACCAAACAAGCATAGAATAACAGAATATTGGTCTGGCAAATATGTATATCTATTTAGAGAGATTTTGTCTTAACCTGGGGATTTGTGTAATGCAATTTATTTTCTAAATGCTATACTTTACAGCTAGTTCTTTGCTAGCAGGTATCTAAAACTCCTTTTTGTTTTGCAGTCTCGAATTGCTTTGAGAAGCTTCTGAAGTCCAGAGGGGAATCATTTGACTTTGCTGAATATATATCGTGCTTCTGACGAGTTCTTGCAGAAGAGCAATTTAGTGAACAGCAATGAAAAGGCCGAAAAAATCTCAGAAAATGGTACAAGGAAAATTTTATCAATAGCCACTCCCTGAAGCATGCTCGTGACATCCACAGGTAGGTAATGCCCACTTGGCCAAGAATTAATGGCAAACCTCGCAATTACATGAATAATACTCCTGATTATAAACTTCTTTTAATTGAAATTGCTCTATAATGTATTAACATGTCCATTTTATCAGGCTTCCTAAGATTGAGTTTCGAACTGTGATACCTCAAAGACAGGCTATACAATATTCTTTTGGCATTATTTCCTCCTTTCTTTTGGCGGTTTTCTCCTAATGAAGTTTCTCTAGATATCTATTTCTAAGGTTCATTTGACACTTCATTTGTAGTCAAATACGGAGGAATGTAGAACAAATGGGCTTCATGTCACTTCATGTGGAGACGGCATGCTTCCTTTTCGCAGGTGCCTAGCTGCATCCTTTTTTCTTAATACAGCTTTGAAGCAGCCTGATGGTACATACAGGTAGGAGTATACATTTTTTGCAGCACTTCCTATAGTGATTTAATTTACTTCGAAGGTAATACCTATTATTGTTAAGATTACAATATCCTTGAGAACAATCGATTTATGCATCTTTTTTGTGCTATGGCAGGGCTTTGTCAAGTGGTCTTACTGTGCATATCCATCTGTCATCTGTCTTATTCCGGCTGAAACCAGAGTGCATAATTTTTGATGAATTAGCCGAACTACTATAATTATATTGGAAACATTTCTAGAATAGATTGCTTGTGTTTAGCTGAGCAGGCTCCTCATTGTTATGCCCTGGAGGAATTGGAATGAAAGTTTCATTTGGATAAGAACCATTTGTGGTATATATATGTAAACTACTCCTCTGTTATTTGAGATTCAAAAAAAATATTCAGTCTGAATTAAGTGCTGGCTTGAATTTAAATGAAGTTCATGGTTCAATGCCTTGGATTTCATTGGTTCATTATTCCTTCCAAGTTTTATTTTTCATATGAGACGAGCCTAATCATAAGAAAAGAAAGTTTTTGATTCGTCTTTGCTTGAAGTTTTGCCCATTGTATTACTAGTGAAATTTCAATATTTGAATATTTCTTCTTTGAAATGGCTCGAGTTAAGTTCGTGGCCTTACCTGGGACGACATAGAAAAATGTCGAGTTATTGGGGCTGATTTTTGTTATTGAAATGTTCAGTTCTAATGTTTAATTTTGTCTTGCAACAACAAAGGATCCTTACTCCATATTAGAGGGGACTTGCATCGAAGTTTAGAAGCTGGGCTTTCATACTAGGAGGCAATCTTTATGGTTGTACAGAATCAATCAGCATTTCATGGAGAACGAGTTTTCAACAGATGGGATATGCCTCTGCTTGATCGTTATTGAAGGATGGACAGATATACTGATGAATGCTAGGTATTGATCACACAAAATAATAGCTATTGTTGATGTCGTTTTCTGCGGACAACAGATATAGAGCCTATTCGCACACACGTGAGCTAGTTCCAACTTGTAAAGACAGGTTGCTAGTTGTCAATCTCCGAAAATATGGACGTAGGAGAAGCTCAACGACGGGAGACAAATATGTTCGGGTTCTGGCGGCCGATTTGTGAAACGATTGTATAATGGTAACCAATAGCAAACAACTCAATCAAAGTAAAATAATGTAAACTCGTTGCCAAATAAGTAAAAGAGAAGGCAAAGAGTAGCTTTTAGTATCTTGAATTGCATTATCCTTTAAATGGTACATGGATGAGGTATTTATAGTATTACAAATAAAATGGTGGCCATTAAATGAAAGTACATGTGGCCTCATCTTCTTAATCGAAGCATCTAATCCTAGACATCAATTTGAATTTACTAACTTATTGCGCATTTAATGCTTACACGAAGCAGCCACCATATTGACAAGACTTGATATTTATATTTATTACAAAGGTCCCATCAATCACTTCAAAAAGATTTCATACATAAGTTCAGGATCTTCATGTGGGTTGTCACTTGATGTAACGGGTTTCGAACTTTGTGGAACTCCCTCGCCTCAACGCCTTTGCTTCGGCAGAAGAGGCATGAATGAGTCTCGAACTAATCTCCCAGGCCTCGTCACTTTGTGTAGGAGGCTTTGTCAAAGGTGATTCCAATACTTGAGTAAATCAGCTAATCCAATAATTGACCAGAGAACCTCAGTGGGTCAACCATGTAGACAAGAGGACCTCGATGACGTGAAGCCACGTGTGGCAAGGCGTAACAGTAGTCCTCCAAGTTCATGTATAGTTTATTTATATCATGCATGGACTTCAGTAGTCAGTGGGATTCCGACATTCCATAATAGTATTAAACAATTTTTTGTAAGCTAACATAATAGTCCCATGTCCAAGTATAGATATTGATATCACGATTAGAGTTGAAAGTTGTATTCTTTCGTGTTATGGGAGTTCTTGAAATTTGTTTTGAGCTGAGGCAGGATTTCACTGAACTGTTGATGCTCGTTTGTCTTTGAGATAACTGAAATTTATTTCAAGCCAAGGCAGGATGAAGCCCAACTATCGAGGCTCATTTATCTTTAAGATAGCTGAAATCCATTTCAAGCCAAGGCAAGATAAAGCTGAATTGCCACGCTCCTTTATCTTTGAGATAGCTGAAATTTATTTTAAGCCGAGACAGGATGAGGCTGAACTGTCGATACTCCTTTTATTTTTAATGATTGCCCTCAATAGTAGTGCCAATGATTTGATATTTTTGCACGTTACCAAGAAAAAGTAGCAAAGGCGTTACGATTTTCCATACATGTACAATTGTTACATTAAATATACAATGATTGAGATGACGTTGCAATTCGGA